GATTGGCTGCGCGCGCGCGGACGCCGCGTCGCTCCTCCCGGTCTGCGGCCGCCGGGCGGGCCTGTGAGAGCGGGCGCTAGTCGGGTCGGTTCCGTCCTCGCGGCGGGGAGCGGACTGCGGGTCCCACCTCAGGCGCGGGGTCCGGGTCGGGATCCCCTGCTGGGTGTGGGGCCCGGGTTCGGGGTCTCTTCCGGGTCGCGGGATCAGGGTCCCCACCTGGGGGGGTATCGGGGGTCGGGTCCCCTCCTGGGGGCTGCGGGTCGAGGTCCCTCTCCTGGTGGAAGATCTCCCGGGGGGGGGTAGTCGGGGTCCACCCCTCGGCTCGTGGGCGGCTAGGGGTCCCCCTAGGGGCGGGAGAGCTGGAGTCAGGGTCTTCCAGCGCAGGGTGTGAGGGATCGGCGATGGGAATCGGGGGTCTCGCTCTTCGGGCACAGAATTGCGTGGTGTGGGGGATCGAGGATTAGGGGGTCTCCATTTCCCAGGTGCGGCGCCGGTGTCCGTATCTAGCGGGTAAGGGGCGCGGTGAGACATGGTTGTATGGCCGGTCGGGAATGTTCGTTCCCAGGGCTTTCTTCTTGCACTTTCCTGGGTTGTGCGGAGTAAATGCTCAGTACGCTTTGAGTATTAGCCTGTGTTCTCTGCACCGGTTCCCTGCCCTGCCAGGGGCCCCGCCAAGCGGAAAGCCGCCGGAGGGGCTGGAGGGCGAGAGTGAGGTGGGGCAGAAGGCCAGGTGCGGCCTCAGTGACAGGGTCTCCAGGGCGAATTCGGTTGCTTTGCTGTGTATCTTTTCAAAAGTTCAGTTTTTAATGCCAAATAATGCTTATAGAATGTGTAAAAATTCACAGCAGTAAGGTTATGGCAGAAATATTAAAAATTGTACTAGATTTTTAAAAACTACTAAACGTCAGCGAGGATAATTAGAGTTTTCTGTGAATGAAGACTCTTAAATTTCATTTTTCTGAGGCGCAGGATCTGCGACCCAGATGGTAACAGGTAAGCCACATCCTCAGCCCTTTTTAAATTTTTTTTTTAATTTTTAATTTTATTTATTTATTTATTTATTTATTTTCCAGTATCGGGAATCGAACTCACAACCTTGTGCTTGCCAGGCAGGCGCTGTGCCGCTGAGCTAAATCCTCAGCCCCTTTTTTAAAATTTTGAGACAAGCTCTTGCTAAGAACTTGCGATCCAGTGGCTTCGAAACCGGTGACAGGATTGACAGTCACACAAGGCATACTGCTCATTGGTGCCAGCCGTACTTTCTTTTCTAGGTTTCTGTTACTCAGCATCTGCAGGTGCATTTGCGGAGCTTTCACCCTTGCTTTACTGGCCATTAAAAGCATGGGCTCTTTTGGGGTGTGGTTTGGACCTATAGGTCCCAGGGCTCCAAGCAGCTGCAGGCAGGGTGAGCGCCACCCAGGCTCTGATGGGAGGTCCAGCGGTCCCCAGGCCTGAATGCCGTCTGCACATATGAACAACGGAATGAAACAGAACAACTCCTGTGGCTTCAGCTGTTGCAGTGCATTTTAAATTGGTGTTTTTTTGAGCTCTGGCCACATTAGGAGATGGTGATCCCCAGGGACAGTGCTGTCTGGAATGACAAAGAATCTAGCAGAACCTGCCTTTGCTTGCAGTGTAGAGGGAGCCCCCGGTGGGAGCTCTGCTTTGTCCTCATGGGCCCCCACTATCTCTGTAGTGGATGAGCGCCTCTCTGCAGCAGTGCCTGACAGCCACAAATACATCCTCCTGGTGTTTGCAGAGGAACTTGGGGCAGTAGGGTTCAATGTCTTCCCTGAGCTAGAGTGCAGGCCTGGGATTTCTAGCCACTCACACCTGCTCCTGTGCCCGAGTGGCTTTCATGGCACTTTGCAGGCTGCCTTTTAGGCAAGCACTGACCTGTCTGGGAGCTGCCATCAGGAACTGGATCACATGGTTTTGGTTTTGTACACCACACAGTGCGGATATGCTTTTTTGCCATCCAAGATTATTTTACATGTGTTGCTGATTCAATAGAAAATGTTGAAGGGCTGATTCAATAGAAATCAAATTTTGATTAAACAATAGTGGCAGATGCACTAAACTTTCCCAATTAGTGTCTTGAAGGAGGGAAGAGAGGTACGGAGGTGGGGAGGGGGGCACCAAGGGCCATGCTCATGCTAAGCAAGTGCTCTACCACTAAGCCATGGTCCCGGCCCAAAGACTTCACTAGGAAGAGTCCTGTTACTGTTGAGGTGGGGACTGTGGCTCAGCAGCAGCACTTGCGTAGGATGTGCAGGCCCTGGGTTTGAGCCCCAGCACTACAACTCTTGGGGTTTCCCTCTGCTGTAACTCAGAGCAGTTGCTGCTGCGTTTTGTATTCTCAGACGGAGCACGTAATCACCTTCACAAGTACCTAGCATGACTTTGTATCAGTTTCTCTGTGGTAGCTTCTGCTTTGTATAATCATATATATAATATCATCATGACATGTCTGTGAAATAAACTTGAAAGCCTCTGGTGTCGGCACCGTGTTGGTTACTGAGTGCCAAGCTAGGCCCTCCTCACGTGTTACTCTGCAGAATCTCACCAGAATCGCTGGGAGTGGATGCTCTTACCCCTGTTTCTGCAACTGAAGAGGTGAAGGCTTAACCAGAGAGGGCGACTTCTCTGAGGCTCCCTAGCTCGCATTTCTCAACAGCAGTTTCTGCCCTCAAGGACTCTTCGCTGCCCACCTCTTGCTCATGTCACACTTGGCCTCTGGCTCTGGTTCACCAGGTTAGTCAGGAGGCTGAATCCCACATCCATGGCCCTCGTTCTTTAGGAGGAAGGAAAGTTGATGTGCCATGGAACACAAGGACGCAGGAAAAGTGTCCCAGGCCCCTTGATTGTTGTTATGAGACTTGACCACTGGTTCTTCCACACTGGACCCAGTTGTTAGAGCAGCAGCTCTTGCTCCTTATGGGAGGCCAGGTCCTGAGAATATGAGAGGTAGTCAGGCGATGGTCTCAGAAAAACCACCAGCTCCCAGTCCTGGTTTGAGTGGTTGTCCCAGAGAACAGTTGCTTTCTGTGTTGTGTCACCTCTGGATGCCTAGCAGGGAGGAGAGCCCCCTGTGAGTGTGTGCTGTGCTGAGCTGTCCCCCTGCACCCCAGTCCAAAGAGCAGCCCCGCTTCCTGCGCAGGTGGACGAAGCTTAGGTCTCAGACTCTGCACCTTTTCTCCGAGCCCATGTCCTGCTGCAGTGCTGTCTTCCAAAACGGCTGAGATTTTCTGAGCTGCCTTTATTCTTTGGGTTGCATCTTTTTAATTTGCCTGCTGTCCTCAGTGAGTTGGGGAGGGCTCTGTGTCACTAACTTACCCTAACTCAGTGGCCTAAAAACAGTCACTATTTGCAGCCACAGTGGACCTTGAGCTGGGGTCACCTGAAAGACTGGGCCAAAGACTCCAGCAGGAATGTGGTGTGGCCTGGGCTTTGTCACAGGGTGGCAGGTGCCTTCCAAGAGTGTCACAAGAAAGCAAAGGGGCATTTTTATGATACCCATTGGTTCTCCCAAGTCACTTCTGTTTCTGCTTAGGAGGCCATCACCCAGGTCTGGCTTGAGGAAATGAACACTATGCTCTGGAGGGGCTGAGTTGAGTGGCCCTAAGTGACCTGGCCCTCCGGTCTCTTCTACTTGATGGCAGTCCTGGGTGTCCTCGCTACTACACTCCTGGTCTCTGTCACCACAGACACCCCTACTTCCCAGCCCCATCTGCCCAGCTGCTGGGGCACAGTCACTTCTCTGTGACCCCTTGTCCCCAAGTGGGCCTGCTCTGCTCCGTCCCTCTGTAGCCAGCATCTAGTTCTTAGGGCTGGGCCACGCCGGGCATTACAGCGTCCAGGACCCCTTTCCATCCCCACGGCCTTGTGCCTGACTCTTGGCCCCTCCTCACCTCCAAGGGGTGCCTGGACCTTTGCAGCTTCAGGAGACAGTCTCCTTCACAAGCCTGTGCTGCCCCAACTCACTGGAGTGTCAGTGCATCGCATGGTGCTGCCTGACTCGTGCATGGAGTCTCATCAGCTAGGCGATCCAGTTCCTTCTGCACATTCATAGTCAGGCAAGTGTGGGAGTTTCAGTCACCAGCGTCCATTTCCAAGATACCAGAAAATAACCCTTCTGCTAGGAGGTGGTGTGGCTGGGCTGGTTTGGAGAAACCTAGGCCCTGTAACCATCATGATTGCTTGGGGTCATTGTGGTCTCATGGAAAGGAGCAGGTCTAGCTCAGCTCTCCTGAGATTCCATCCTTCCCTAGGAAGAGTGGCTGCATCCAGAAACCAAGTAATAAGTGCTGGTGAGGCATTGAGAAGAAACCCTTCTGTATTGGTGGGAGTGTAAACTAGCTCAGCCACTGTGGAGATCAGTGTGGAAAATCTTCAAAAAGTTAGCAGTAAAGCTGGGCATGGTGGCACACACCTGTAAGCTCAGGACTCAGGAGGCTGAGGCAGGAGGATTGCCACCAGTTTGAGGCCAGCCTGGGCTACATAGTTCAGGGCCAGCCTGAACTACATAGTGAGACCCTGTCTCGAAAAACAAACTAGAAGTAGAAAGTCCATTTAAGCCAGATTCCCCTTTAGGCATTTACTCAGAAGAGTTAAAAACATGGTATTACTGTGATCCATGCACAGCCGTGTTTGTAGCAGAAACAGTTTGTAATAGGTGGGACTTGGAAGTGACTTATATGTATGTCCATCAGCAGAGGAGTGGGTAAAGCAAGTAGGATATTTACGCAGTGGAATACTACTCAGCCATAAGGAAGGATGAACTGTAGTCATCTGTTGAAAAATGGATGCACATTGAGACCATAATGCTAAGTGAAATAAACCAGACACAAACTTAAACATCATGTGGTTTCTTATATGAGAAACCCTAAGTATGAATAAAGAGCAAAACAAAGGTAATAGGAAATGGAGAGATCTTTTGCAAAAGGGAAAGGGAGCAAGAGATGGAGGGAGAGGAGAGGAAGAAAAATGTGTATGTACCAGTTCCCTATAACAGTGTAGTCATTATGTACTGCAAACTAGTCCTAATAAAAAAGCCCTCGGGATACCAGGTAGTGGTGCACACCTATAATCCCAGCAATTGGGAGGTTGAGGCAAGAGGAACACCAAGAGCTGAAGGCCAGCCTGGGCTTCAATGGTGAGGCCCTGGCTCAAACAAAACCCCCAGGACTCCTGGCTGAAACCCTGAACTGGTCACCTTAATTGAGTAGACAGCAGCCTTTTCTTCCTGTGCCACTGGTAGGTTAAGTTTGCCTGTTTATTCAGTGTTGGAACCCAGCATTCAGGAGGCTGAGGCAATAGGATCATGGTGAGTTCAAGGCCAGCCTCAAATACATAGACCATGTCTCAAAACAGAAACACCCATCTTATTTAACCTTGGTGTTACAGATGGAACCCAGAGCATTATGCATGCTAAGTGAACTTTGTACCACTGAGCTGCATCCCCAGTCCTTGAAGAGACTGTCCAGAGATTTGGTTCAGGAGGGAATTCACACTGCAGGTAGTTGGAAATTGTCGCAGCCTCCACTCTGGTGTACCAAGAAGACCACGGGGTGGGCTTTGCTCTTTGCTGGGCCTGGCAGTGCCAGTGGCTGCTGAGTGACACCAAGGAAGTGTCCTGATGTTTCTGACCCCTTATCTGCAGAATGGGGAGAACAGTAGAACTCACCTCAGCAGGTCTCTGGGGAGAACTTGGTGAAAACCGAGGTGCGGGCGCTTAGGGCATCCTTGCTGCTGGCCATAGAAAGGCTTTCCTGAAAATCAGAGTGGGTGCTGTTCGGCTTGACTTAACAATGGTGTTTGATTAGGAACTTAAATAGTATCAAGTCAGCCTTCTCACTCCACTTCCTATAACACTTCATAAATACGAGGTGATTGAAAAATACAGTGATGTTTAAAAGTCATAGCTGCTTAAAAATTATTATAGCAGAGATACATTGTCATTGATCCTGCTCAAAACATTTCCCCTTTCTTCCGGTAGACTTATCCCATCATTCTTGCCACTTTCTGCAGCAGTTCTGGAAGTCCTCTTCTGTGAGTGTTTCTAAGAGGTGATCAAAAATGTGGTAAATGGGGGCTGGGGATTTAGCTCAGCAGCATAGCGCCTGCCTGGCAAGCCCAAGGTCAGAGTTCAATTCCCGGTACCGGAAAAAAAACAAACCAAACCAAAACAAACAAACAAACAAAAAAGTGGTAAATGCCGCTGCTGAGTGCCGTCCAACAATGAGGTAGGTTGTTAAAAACATGATGCTGTCCTCACCTTAGTCACTGAGTCTGGCACTGTTCAACTCCTGATTTTTCCCAAAGTCAAAAGGGAAACACTCTAATCAATCTGGGACATCAAGGCAGCCAGGACAGCATAGCCAAAGACACTCGGGGAAAGTTGCTTCAGAACGTGGTAAGAACCACGGGGTAAATATGTTCACAGCGAGGGGAGGGTTTTGAGGGGGTTCATAGCAATGTGTCTTTTATTGTAATAAAAGTTTTGGAATTTCAACATTCCCTGTAGTTTTCAATCTCACCTTGTCTGTAAGGTAGATGGCCAAATCATTGCCCTGAAGTATTCTGTCACAGATCATCCCAGCTCCCTGGCAAGGCACAGCCCTGGCACCTCACTGGCCCAAAATGCAGTCGTTTTCCAGAAGTTCTGGTATTGGGGGGGTAGACGCTGGTATTGGGGGGGTAGAGCAGCTGAGCCACCAGCTCTGTGGACCAGCTTAGCTGTCCATTACTGTAAAGAAATGCAATAAAGCACTAATATAAAGAGAAAGGCTTGCTCCCCTTGGAGGTTCTGGTCCCATAGCCGGGGGGCCCAGCCCAATGGCACTGGAGCAGACTATTCCCCGCACTTGGTAGGAAGTGAGAGTAAGCAAGGGCCAGGCCCCACAGTCCCCTCCAGGAGACCTCAGTGACCCTGAAGTTGCCACCACATGCTGATAGCACAGCCCTGGGGGTCAGGCTCCAGCTCCCGGACCCGGGGCCCCTACTGCAGCCGGCTCACGAGAGGGCACGGGCCTGTGCAGCTGCTGCCATCCTTCCTGATGGCTACGCAGGGACAGTAGTGGCCAAGTGTGGCCTCCTAGAGCCCACCCTGGAGGCAGCAGGTCAGAAAGGCCCCAAGGGTCTATTCCTCAGCTGAGCCCACCCTGCCTCAGACTTCCCGGTGTTGAGCTGATTTCCTGATTATTTCCTGCGAATGGAGGTGTTGGCCTGGGCACATCTGTCCCCCGTATCAACTAGGCCTGTGTGGGAGCTCAGGTTTCCACAGTCACAGAGCCCACAGGCGCAGCTGAATCGCTGAGAATGCCCACCAACACGGTGTCTGTTCTGCAGCGGGAAACACCACAGCCAGGCCTGGTCCTGGCGCAGCCTCAGGGGCCTTGGTGCCCACTGGGCCTCTGTGTTCAGTGGCAACGTTGATACTGTTGGCAAGTGAAAGGTTGGAGTCAGGTGTGGTGACACTCAGGAGGTTGAGGCAGGAGGATCCTAGTGAGTTTGAGGCCAGCCTGGGCTACATAGTAAGAACTCGTCTCAAAAAACACCACGAGAGGAAAGAGACTATGCACAGAGGGCTTCGGCCTGCAGAGCTGTTTCCCAGGATGAGGAGGAAGGTCCTGTCCTCCTGTATGCTCAGAGCAGGGCCCTTGCTGTGAGGACACCATGCCTTCCCAGGGGCCACGGGTTTGGGACCACAGCTGCATATTCAGCCTGCCTCCTCCTGCCTCACCTCAGGAGGAGGGGTTAGAGGACGGAGCCTCTTTTGCTGTGGGATGCTACAGGCTGCTCATGCCTGGGAGGGGGTCAGTACCACTCCTTCAGGGCACCCTGCAGATGGCTGTGCCTCAGACCAGGGCAGGAGCCTCTCCCTGCCACTCTAGGAAGGTTATAAGAACAGAAGGGATGTGGATGTGTGTGACTGAGAAGCAGGCATCCCCTAGAGGCTGGCCTCACACTGGGCACCAGGGATGGTCGCCATGGCCCAGAAGATTCCCTGTAGGGGCCATCAGTAAGTCCATTGGGAGCAGGTGTTTGTGACAGTGGACACATTCCCTCTTTGCAAGGTGTCGGAAACAGGTGTCAGGAGGTCGAAGGAGGCTGGGGTGCGGCTGGGGCAGAGTACCCACCTGACGCACCAGAGAGGCCCTGGGTTCTGTCCCCAGTGCCGCTCCCTTCCACAAAAACCTGCAGTAAAGACTGCATCTGGAGCTAGGTGCTGATGAGGGACGGGGTGGACATTCCTGGCATCTCACAGCAGCCCCCTTATCCTGGGGACACATCCCAGGACCCCCCAGGCTATGCCTAAAGCTGTGAACAGCATGGAGCCCTGTACAGACTGGGTTTTCCCTATACATACAAGTTTAATTTATAAATTAGGCTCAGTAAGAGATTAGTAGCAACAATTATAAAATAGGGCAATTATCACAAAATAATGGTGGTGCACACCTATAATCCCAGCACTCAGGAGGCTAAGCAGCGAGGATCACCCAAGAGTTCAAGGCCAGCTTGGGCTACCTAGTGAGTTTAAAACATATGAGTTGTTTATTTGTGGAATTTTCCACTTAACTTCAGACCACAGTAGACCCTGGGTAGCTAAAACCGCAGGAGACGAAGCCGCAGACGGGCGCTGGCTGGGTGTGAGGAGCCGATTCCGCCAGGACTGAGCCCTCAGGATTAACAAAAGATCTGTCTGCGCCCTGGACGTGTTTAATGTAAACCTTTTAAAAGAACTGAAAACTAGAAAAAAAAGTTTCCCTGGAAATACTGAATGTAAATACCTAGTCCTCAGATAGTGGTTCTTTACAGTGTCTGCAGTGAGAGCCCGGCGGCGGCCACACTCCTGCCGGGGCCAGGAACGCTCCCCACCAGGGACGTGGCCCTCCAGCCTGTGCCCTCAGGACCCACAGCAACATCACAGCCCCAGGGCACAGCGTCTTCTCTTCCAGCCACTACTGTTCACCTTCTGAGCTCCAATTTTCTCTCCCTTTTCTTTTGGGAGATAGCCACCGTTGTGTCTGGGGGAGGGCGGGTCCGGACACGCATTGCCAGCAGGAGTGGCAGGCGCAGGAAGGCACACAATAAATTAGAGCTGATGTCGTCTTCTGAAGGTCACTGGAGACCTGGGGGGTGTGGAGAACACCGTGGAGGGATGGCGGAGTCCCACCCTGGTAAGGACGTTGCCGCATGCTCGGCCAGAGGAAGGACCCTCCTGCCTCATCATCGCTGTGTGGAGGACAGTGGCCTGGGTGGCCTGGTGTCCACGGGACGCAGTAAAGCCTTGGGGAACCTGGAACTGAAGGCTGCCGCTCAGCAGGACGATAAAGTGCTTGGGAGGACAGGAGCTGTCACCGCCACCGTTCATCTCCCCTGAGGCCCAGTGGATGCCATGAAAGGCGATGAATCTCCTGCGAGGACAGACTGGGAAAGCTGTTTCCGCTGTGCACCTACATTTCTACTGCTTTCCACGTCTTGACGTCACTCCATGTAGCTCACTGCTGGGAAAGGGAATCACGGCAGGCTGGGAAACATGACGATAGAGGCCAGGTTTGGGGATCCTCTGTGGTCCCCGGCCAGTTCCGCGTGGGCTGAGTTGTGTGGCTCCCGGTAGGGTCACCTGTCCCACGTGAGCTTGTTCCAGTCCCATGCTGGGCAATGCTATAATACGCTGGCATCCTCCATGGCCTCCATCCACCTGGGGACAGAGAATCAGGGTCACAGCTGTGCCAGGAGCTCAGGTCACAGGGCTGATGGTGCCGTGTTTTGTGTTCACGGCTGTTTCCCACACACGCTGTCCTTGTTGAGCAGAGGCACAGGACACAGTGTGAACTGAGACTGGGCCAGTGCCCACCTGCGTGGATGAACTGGGACAATCACTCTGCCCTTGTGACGCTGAGGCAGGAAGTGGCCGAGGACAAGCCCAGAGAGATGGGATGCAGCCCTCACAGCCTGCTCTGGGCTGGAGCCACTCTCTGAGGGTGTCCAGGTCTACACACAATGGGAAGGCTGCAAGCAGCTCCTTGTGCCCAGCGGACCTCAGTGGCCCTGATCAACCCCAACCCTAATCACCATGTCCCTGACTGCAGCTTTGACCCCGTGGGTGTTTGCACCTTGACAGTCCTTCCAAGGGCCACAGAGATCAAGAGCTCCTCTGCCCTCCAGGTGGCCGAGCCACGCCCCCGCTCCCTGGCGGGAACCCTGCCCCAGACCAGCCCCTCGACCCTACTCCAAACCCCCAGGCTTCAGCACGGCACCAAAGGGCCGTGAGCCTTGCTCTGGCCTGCACCTGCCCTGTGGGGAAGGTCTTTTGTTTTCTCTTTTAAACAAATCTTTGCTCTTGCAGCTACTTTAGGTGTCCTGCTGTCTTCATTTAGGAATCAAGAATCTAGACAAGAGCCCAACTGGGGAAACCCTGTGGCCCTGGGGACCTGGTGGCAGTGGCCGGCAGTGCTGTTCTGGGGGGCGCGCACGCGCGCGCGCGCGCGCACACACACACACACACACACACACACACACACACACACAAACACACAGGCCTTGAATTTCCATACCTCTGGGCAGTGCTAGTGTCCTCTGCCTTGAAGCTGTAGAAAAGGGTTTTCTTGTGGTAAAGGTGGAAGACAGGACCAGGGTCGCCGCTGCCCTCCTCCCTCCCTGGAGCGATGGTAAAGCCCAGCAGAGGGATGCTCTCTGTGGCCACTTTGTCCTGTGGGGCAGAGGGATGCTAGCGTCAAGCATAACCTGCAAGGGGCTGGGGATTTAGCTCAGTGGCAAAAGCGCCTGCCTGGCAAGCGCAAGGTCGTGAGTTCGGTTCCCGGTACCGGAGAAAAACCAAAAAAAAAAAAAAAAAAAACAACAAAGCATAGCCTGCACACAGACAGCACTGGTCATGTTTTTGTCACCCAGCTCCCACCAGGACCAGCCCTCAGAAGGAGGGAACCCCCACCCTCGTCCCGCCAGTACTAGGGATTGAACTCAGGACCTTTCTACTGGGCTGCATGCCCAGGTCATTTTTTTTTTGTTTGTTTGTTTGTTTTTTTTGGTTTTTCTCCGGTACCGGGAACCGAACTCACGACCTTGCACTTGCCAGGCAGGCGCTTTTGCCACTGAGCTAAATCCCCAGCCCCCCAGCTCATTTTTTTTTATTTTTTGAGACTAAGTTGTGGTTGCCCAGGCTGGACTTAAACTTGGGATCCTCCTTCCTCAGCCTCCCACGGGTTACAGGTGTGCACCACCAGTCCTGGTTTGAAACCTGATGTTTTAGGGCCAGGTATCTGCACCTTTGTTATTTTGTTCAATCCACAAGCAAGAAAGTATAGCCTTCAGAGAAGGCAATGCCCCAAGATCACACAGCTAGAAAGAAAGGAGCCAGATTTGGGGCTTTTGGCCAGCTTCTAACATCCTTTCTGCTGAGTCAATTCCCCAGGGACTCACTTTCCTTAGTTTCTTCTGAGACCACACTCACTCCTCAGCCCTGACGTAAAGGCCTCCTCGGGCAGCGCCAGCCCCCGCGCAGTGAGCAGCCCGTGCTGACAAGATGCACTCCGAGAATGCAGAGGGAGCTTGAAACAGCGCTCGGTGGCAAAAGGAAGATTCTAATCCATGAAGAAAAGTTATTACACGTGCTCATGTGTAAATGAAGAACATGGGTTCTTGCAGTGTTTTGTAAGACATGGGATAAAGAGATATAGGTACTAAGCATGCTAGGATAGCTGCAAGGTGAGAGGAAAGGGGAGTAGAGTAAAAAAATTCTGAAACCATTTTCAAAGATGCAAAGATCAGAAAAAAAGTATTTGATGGAGACCACAGAGCAGCTCTGAGTAGGACTTAAATTAACCAATTAACTTTCCATGTTTACTTGTGAGTCTGTCCAAATCCTAGGGTCCTTGTCTGGAGATGGGCGGTGGACTCATAGTAAGTGAACCTCTGTGACTCACTAATCCCTACTGAGGACTGTAATGGCGGATGAAGCCAGAAAGCTTCAAAGGACATGACAATATCACAGCCAAAGACACCTAGATCCATCTCAATTAGATAAAGACTATAGCCTCAGGCATCTCACTTCTGGGTGGATTAACTTAATACCTTACTTAGAGAAGTCCTTGAGTGGTTCTGCCCTTCTTGAGTACTCCTCTTCCTTCTGATAATAAATACGAGCCACCCAGAGAAGGTGGGGTCTTAGCCCTGAGAGAATCTCAAATTCTGTGAGAAGACTTTGATCTTCCTGGAGCCCTGAAATCACCCCAGTTGCCTCTTTTTATTTACCCTTCACTGTTCGGGAGACTTTGGACCTGATCAGCCCGTAATAACTAAAGAATATTATTAACCAATATTTGACAAAATTCAACATTCAATCGTGATTGAAAAGTCTCAGCAGCCTCAGAGTCGGAGGGAACTTCCTTAATCTGATGCAGGGTATAAATATAAGTGTGCACAGCCGATGTCACAGTGAACAGCGAGCTGCTGAACCCTCCTGAGACAGGACAACAGGACTCTGAACAGCGCAGTGCTGGAGCCCTGAGCCGCCGCAGAAAGGCCGGAGAAAGAAACGCAAAGGTCAGAAATAAGCAGTAAAGCCATCTGTGTGTGCAAAGAACAGGTCTGAAGACAAAACAACTACGCTAACTGATGAGTGTTAACAAGGTTATGGGACGATCACCTCTCTGTCTACCAGTGGCAGGCAGCTAGAAAGCAAACCAACTGTACTCACAGAGCATCCAGAATAAGATACTGAGGAGTAAAGTTAGCAGAAGGTAAGGACAGAAGGGGCTGGGAATTTAGCTCAGTGGCACAG